TTAGCTCTGATATCTCCGCCACTGATCTTAAATATATAATTATTAATCAAAACGAAAATATCAAAGCTAACATCCGAAACGAAGCCGACGTTGAGTTTAAGTTTAAACGACCTAATAGAAACTCAAACCTCTATAATGCTGTATTTGTCTCTGCTCCTTACCTTTGGCGTCATATCGTTCAAACACTTAAGCTCAACGTCGACCATCAACGTGTACACGTTGAAGACTTCACCCCGCTTTTGCAATGCTTTAAATGTTTAAAATTCGGACACACCCGTAAGTTTTGCAAGACCGAAGAGACTCATTGCTCCCACTGCGCTGCTTCTAACCACGAGTTTAAAGACTGTCCAATTAAAAAAAGATCAATCCAAATTAACCTGTTTCAACTGCAAAGCCTATTACAACGAGAAGAACGGTGGAAGCAAGGGGCCTCTAGATCACGGGGCAGCTTCAGATGCTTGTCCAAGGAAGCAGTTTATGGTCGGCCGAACTAAATCCAAGGTTGATTATGGATCATAGTCCTTTTAATTATAACACCCATAGTTTTACACATATTTCCAACAGAAATTATAATATAAATTCCATACAAATCAACCTTGGACGTAGCAGAAACGCTCTACACGAGCTTTTTACTTATATTTCAGATGGCGCACCTGAGTTTGTCTTTATTACTGAACCATATACTAGTAACATTGACTCTTTGAAAATGACTAATTCTGACTACACACTATATCAATTCCCTACTTCCCGCCCCACCCTTGCAGCCCTTGCTATACGAAAAAACACCGTTTCCACCCTTGGTATTTCCTCACATTCCACCTCTAATCTTTGCATTGTACAATGTAGAGATAGTACGTCTAACAGAAAGATATTCCTTATTTCCGTATACATAGAACCTCGACATGACGCATTCAATACCTTAACTAACTTAGAACAATTTATTTTATGTAATAATAACGCTTCATTTTTAATCTGCGGAGATTTTAACGGCTGGCATGGTTTATGGGGTTCTAGAGCTAACAATGATAGGGGAGATCTAATCTTTGACCTTATCTGCAATAATAATTTCATTATACATAACACAGGCAACTCACCTACATTCCACACAGTCACACACCAACTTCCACGCCAATCAATCATAGATCTCACACTCACTAGTAATTGCTCACACATTCATATAAATAATTGGTCAGTTAATTCCGGTTTAATAGTCAGTTCAGATCATTTTCCTATTACTTTCAAAGTTTCATTTAATAACATTGCATTAACCAAAAACAAAAAACTCTCTACATTTAGATACAACACAACCTTCATTCGTTGGAAGGACATACAGGACAAATTTGCAGATGAGGTCGGGAGGGAGCTCCCCTCCGTAGAGGCCATAAACTCCGCGAACTCACATGACCTAGATAATATCATTAACAAACTTACCTCGACTTTACAAAAGACATGCGACAAGTTACTCCCCCGGTCCCGTCATGCCCCTCCCAAAGCTCCCTTCTGGAATGAAAATCTACAGTTATTAAAAGAAAAGGTACTTCACGCACACCACAGGTTGTGTCGATTCGTACGACGCAAACTACCCCTGAACGAGGTTATCGCTGAGAGGGATAGAGCTCGAAGAGAGTATTCGATTGCTTTCTGCGCTGCCTCTACTGAACATTTCAGAGAATTTTGCACCAGGCAAACTAAAGAGGATGTCTGGTCCGTTACTAATAGAATCATTAAAACCAAACCCCTTTCCCAACCACCCTCTACCCTCCGCCTCAGTGACGGCTCCTATACTTCTTCTACATACGACACTGCTGACGCTCTTATAAATAATTTTTTCCCCGACGACACTAATGACGTAACTGACACTCAAACCGCTATTAGGGCATTAATGAGTCAATCTATTAATACTCCCTCCGAACCTAACTTTACCTTAACTGAAATACTTAATGGACTCCGACAAATGAACAATAAAAAAGCCCCAGGAATTGACCATTTGACCTCTGACATATGTTTACAGTTTGCCACTAGCTTTCCCGAATTCATTACAGCTTTATATAACAGATGCCTTACGCTACAACATTTCCCACGTCCCTGGAAACACGCTGTAATTAAAATCATCCCCAAACCCGGCAAAGATAATTACTCCCAACTATCCTCCTTTCGCCCTATTGGACTCATTAATGTCCTCGGAAAACTACTCGAAAGACTTATAATTGACCGACTTACCTTTCACCTTAATCGACTACAACTTAGCAACCCTAGACAGTTCGGGTTTAAACAGCAGACTTCCACCTCAACAGCAATTATTACCGCTCTAGATTTAATTAGATCTAAGAAGGCTAACGGGGAGCACGTTATCGCTGTCTCCCTCGACATTAAAGCCGCGTTCGATAATGCGTGGTGGCCTGCTGTTTTTGCCCGTTTACGACACTACGACTGCCCTAGTAATATATATTATATACTCCTTAGCTATGTACAAAATAGAACAGTAGGCATTGACTTTTCCGACATATCTGTGACTAAGACTATGTCTAGGGGTTGCGTTCAGGGTTCCGTATGTGGTCCCACTATGTGGAACCTAATTATGGACGAACTACTTGACATTGACCTCCCCACTGGTTGCCACATTCAGGCCTACGCTGATGATGTCCTACTCATCACTCACTCAACATCCCTCTCCGACTTACAGACTATAACTAACAATGCACTTGACTTAATCTATAACTGGGGTTCAAACGTTAAATTACGCTTTGGCCCTGACAAGACAACCCTAACCGCGTTCACTAATAAGGCAAACTCAGTTAGCGTTATTATGAATAATGTACAGTTAGAATTTGTAAGTAGTTTTAAGTATTTAGGTATAATCATAGATAATAAGTTTAAATTCACTTTGCATTCAACGTATATCATCGAAAAAGCTAAGAAATTGTTTCATAAATTATTATTATTTACTCGGCCCACTTGGGGCATCCATTCCGATAACATACGCACTATTTACGAGCAAGTAATTATTCCTATTATCTGTTACGCCGCTAACATCTGGTCTAATTCATTAAAATATAAATTCATAGCTAAAAAATTCTTATCACTACAACGTTTATTTGCTATTAAGATAGTTCATGGTTTCCGCACTCTCAGCACTATTACTTCTATTTCTTTAGCT